GGGGGGGGGGGGGATGGGCATTGCTGGAATTGACTGATGCATTATGGCGACAATACTAGAGACAATAGACCATCCTGCAGACGCAACAGCAACGTGTAGAGTATCAAGGAACTAAACTGTCTGCCAGCAGTACAGAATAGTTTCGATGTGAAGTTCAGGAAAGGCATCATGGCAGTAAGGGCTTTTTTTGGTAAAGATGCACGCGGGAAGATCATTTCTAGTGTCTGTCACGTGAATCGTGTCATCTTCGATGTCACGCAAGCAGTCGGTAAAGAGGAACCTTTTTGGATGTGGCCAACAGTTGATACTGGAGAAGGAAAAGTTGATCCGTTGCTTGACGCAAGGATAGTTGAATTTCTTCGTAAGCAGGACATGGAGCACTGTTTTGTTGCACCATGGTCATTTGGTCACGAGAGTGACATGGAGGACAAGCTTGAATGTCCGTGCAGTTTCGCTATAAATTCCAGGGAACAGTTTATTGTAGCAGACGGTGGGGATCGTAACGTAAACGTGTTCGACAGGAGAGGAAAGGCTATGGATCATTTCAATCTCCCTGATGATGTCGACCAAGATGTAGAGCGACGTGAATTGCATGATGTAGCCTCCGACGCGAACGACAACTTCTATGTACTGGTCGAAATGCATGAGACTGGAAGTGAAGAATCCGAGATTTTTGTCTACAAGTTGAACTGTAACACGGAACTGCTTCACAAGCTTTCTGTAAATGTTAACCATACTTTATATTCTCTCGCTTCATTCCGTGGCCGCTATGGCGTGACAGTCGATGGTAAGGGCAGCGTTTTGTGCAGAATCGTTAATGTGATTAATGTGTACGAGAATGATGGACGATTTGTTCGCAGTTTTTGGAGAAAGACTATGAGAGCACGCATTGGATCTGACATGTGCTAGTGATGGTCGTGTCATGGTGTTGGACTTAAATGGCGTTCACATATTCAGTGAATTCGGCGACCATATTTCTGTTTTCAAAATCGAAGGTTGTTGTTGTTCTCTTAGTAGAATTGCATTTCACAATTCAAGTGGACATGTCGTCGTCGCTGATGTAACAAATGATGGTCTGTGTGTTAAAATGTACACCAAAGATGGCGAGTATTTACGCAGCACTCAAATCCACACAGGGAGAATAAGTTTTTTCTTGCCAGGAGTGGCAGTGACTACAGACGGGCACATTGCTGTAGTTTGTTACCAGTTTGAATACCACCGATGGAACGTGTTCATTGTGTGAAAAACGTGATTGAGCTTCAAGACAAGTTTGTCTTCATGAAGAACAATAGCAACAACAAAGCTTTATTCTAAGAGTTAAAAATGCGACACAGTCAGGTAAAAAGAAAAGAGATATTTTACATGTTTCGGTCAAGAATACAAAACAAACAAACATAGACACACGACAAAATGGAAATAAACAAAGTTAAGCTAATAAAATCTTAAAAGTTGTTGTCACTGCCTTAAAAATCTTAAAATAGACGTGTCGGCTAAAATACTATAACCTTCTTCAGTGATGAAATGAATGTTAACGGCGTCTAAATGTAAATGAGATGTTTTTAAGAGTGCGAGGAACTCGCTAGGGATTAATTTAGCATTTTGTTAATGTATGGAATATGCGCGTGATCATTAATTGAGTTCGGTTCGCGAATGGAATGCCACGCTTCTAAGAACAATCGACGCGACCACAAGGGACAGCGGTCTATGACCTTGACATTATTAAAATCAAATTTGTGGTTGTTTTTCATACAGTGTTGCGCCAAAAAAGAGTTCTTGTCGCATGTGAGGACGGCTCTTTTATGTTCTTTTGTTCTGGATATCAGTGCTCTGGATGTTTTACCGATGTAAAGTTTTTCACAGTTTTTACAATTGATTTTATACAGGACACCAGTTGACAGGTCTTGATCGAATTTGTCCTTCGGTTTCTTCAGGATGGAACCAACCGTCTTGACGGGTTTATGAGCAACATTTACGTCGAATTGTCCCAAAGTTCTTGCAAATTTTTCAGAGATTCTTTGAAAATATGGCAAAGTAACAAAGCCTCTGTGACTTTGTGGCTGATTATTTTGGGGCTGATTCAATGCTTTAGGTGGTTTGGTTCCGTGGCAGCTTTTTAAGAATTGGTCCGTGTAACCATTGGTTTTGAGTGCGTCCACCACGTGTTTTACTTCGGACTTTTTGTCTTCGTCAGTCGACGGAATATTCTTTGCTCTGTCAAGGAGGGTTCTGGCCACTGAGCGTTTGTGTTGCAAAGGGTGGTGAGAGTTGAAATGGAGATACTTGGCGGTATGGGTTGCTTTTCTGTAAACACTGGTTTTAATTGATTCATCAGTATTTCTAGTTGTCTTCGTGTCGAGGAATGCGATGGATCTATCACTCTCTTCTTCGACTGTGAATTTGATGTGCTGGTTGATCGAGTTYAGATGGGAGTGAAATRRAGTGAGATGCTCACGGGCGAGGCAAACATGYCTATCGTCGACATATCTGTACCACCACTTAGGGGGGTGTGGTGCAGTACTTAACGCTCTCTCTTCGACGTGTTCCATCACCAAATTTGCTAAGATGGCGCTTACAGGTGAACCCATGGGACAGCCTTCGACAACAAGTAGCTAAAGCCTGCGTTATCAGGAAGGAATGTTGTATAGCTCGGCGACGGCAAATGGCCATTAGTTTGGTAAGGAAACAAATCTTTCATGTAGCTTGGCAAATGGCCATGATGACCCTCCGATCTGTGGTCAAAAAATAAATTTTCCGATTTGTAGCTCAGCAAATTCGTTGTGGCCATAATTGGTTGTCAGAAAACAGACTTTCTGTGTTGTGTAACTCGCCAAAAGGCCGTGTTTTGTGGTTAGAATGGTTAATTCACCTTTTTCATTTGTGAAAACAAGATGTAACTTCGAGCAATGTAAACAAATGCAAAACATTTGGCAACGCGCTGTCTTGCAGGGTCGCGGGTCAAAACTTTATTTCTTCAAGAAATTTTTGTTACAAATGTTGGCGATCTGAAATTGAATTCTAAGTGTCGCCAACAGTTCAAATGCCTTTCCTGGAAAATAGTTTGTGCAGTACAAGTTAGTACTTAATTAAAAACACTTTTACCGCAAGCAACTTCACATGCAGATCGTCATCAGTCATTCGATCGATCAAACTTAGTTTCGGATGCCACCAAAGTAGACCAAACATGCAAAGAACGCGCGCGAACGCACTGCTGTGATCTTTGATTAATACTAGTTGTAATGTATTTTAAGTGCCGTTTAGTTTAATTCATAAAAATTATGGGAGAATTGAACTGTCAGGTAACTGATAATATTTCTGAAATCATTCATGGTATCAAAATGGTGGCGTCGAACGCAGTCTGATAATCTTTGACTACTACTAGTTACAAAACTAAACCAAAGCTGTCGCTAATCCTGGGTTAGCTTAATCGGGCTTTGGACAACCCGGCCCAGGGTTCCACTGTATCATTTTTTCTGCCTCGTCACCTGCGACGACCATAAAGCTTTTGATATTTCGTTACGCTAACAAACTGTTAACTGTCAATGTTTTCGCCACAGTACCACGTGCAACTGAACAACCAGCAGTGGGCGAACCAGCAGATGATGTATTATCCATCGATGTACCAGATGCCTTCCCAGGATCACTTGCAACCTCATCCTGCGGTGTCTATGGGTCAGCAACTATCTCCTGCAGTGCCGCAAATGATCTACCAGCAGCAGATGCAGGTAAACAAACGTCGCCTGTCTCTGCGCCGGTGCGCGTGTGTGAATGGGTTTTGCGTGCGCGTGCATTCCCCGTTGATTGAAATATTTGTTTCCTTTGTTTCAGTGGCATGCCTGTAAACTAGCTAAGCTTAGTGCTTGTATAGCTAAGTGCATGACCACTATAAATAAGATTCACATTTACATTTTTTTAGGCCATTTCCGAGTTGCCTCCTTGTCAAAACAAAGTCTTTGTGCGAAACCATTTAATGGAAATGTGTCTCCTCCCC